AATGCGCCTAGCCATTTGACCTCACTGATTTCCGTTAATAGCAGATGTTTATGGGTCAAATCTCTCACTCTCTCCCTGCAACTTTTTGTTATCCTCCTTTCCTGCCCCTAGACCAGAAAGGGGGCTTGTAATAGTATGGGTCAAATGTAAACGAATGGTGCCAAACGCGCTGTTTTATTGGTCGGCGCGGCGCTGGTGAGATTAGTCATTTTAATTTATTTGTTTCCCTCTGAAAATCCACTTTCATGGAAATCTAGTGGCTCCTTTTTTTTCTTCTTTTTTTGATTCAGCCTATTTTTTTTTCCAAATGAATGCAGCTGGAATTAATGCAATAAATATGTTTTTTTGACAAAGATTTCAAATTGTTTGTGGTCTATAACCTGTATCAGAATGAGGTTCGCAATGGTGGGCCCGAAGGCATGGGTTGAAGACCCAGTCAGTGACGTCACGATATGTAAATTTGTTTAGATTCATACCGACGTAATCACCATGACCAAAATTATCCTTTTTTTTTTACATTGAATCTTGAAAAAAAAAAATATAGACCTACCTACCGACCCTTTTTTTTTATTTTATTGCTGTTACTGCAAACCAAAATATTTTTAAGGATGGCCCGAGCTTTGTTGCGTTCTCTTTTCGCCAACAGACTCTCCACTGTCAGCAGGGTCAGAAATGAACTTTTCCGTTAAAGTCGCCATGAAACGGAAGTTGAGATTGTCCTTTTTTCCTTATTGTGACGTGTATCCGAGTGAAACGGCTTCTAAAATTAGAAAAAAAATGTAGGGCGGGGCTTGATTTCGTCCTTCGGGAATTGATTGGATCGTTGGAGGTTTGGCGTTGCTAACAAAATGGAGGCAGGTTTGAATGCCAGTTTACAGTCAGTTGTGGAGGATTTCTCTCCACCGGACTCACCACCGTTACCCTCCCATGAAGAATTTTTAATTGAGGAACCCGACGATGAGAACGAGGACGAGCAGCCAAATTTTCCAGATTGGAATCACCCCATATTTATATGAGCCTCCCGCGAACCAAGATGAGGCGGCTGATAGTCAAGTTCACCCTTGCACACAAACGCGAACACGCCGTTATTCCTCCTTCTTCGAAATGCAGGAATTCGAGCCAGCGGGCACGCAGACAAGGTTGTTTAGGGATAGGAAAGAGGACGTGATGAGCGCAAAATGCACCTAAACACCATATTTGCTGGCTGTCAGTGACACTGACAGGTTTCTGAGAGGCGGGCCAGAAACGAGACAGACCCCAATAGCCACGCCCTCTAGTAATAGTTTTTGACCGGAAGAGAAGTCGTTTCGAGGGGGGAGGGAAGGGTAACGTATTTGATTAAAGATTATAAGGCTACATGAATTTTAAAAAATAATGAAGTGCACAGATAAATCATTTATAATAAACACTACAATATTACATATAAAAATACGAATGGTAAAATTTTATTTCATGACGACTTTAAAGGACATATTCGTCCCCTGGAACTGATTTCCAGGGGCATTTTTTTTTACAGTTGTAAAGGCAATTTTTATAAATGTTATAAAATAAATAATGTGTTCTGTTTTATGTCAAATTCTAAAGTTTAACCAAAATACTCGGTCAGAATACTATAGACTGTTAGTTAAATTTTAGCAACATCAACAAAAGCCATCTTTACATTGCAAAGAACAGAAGATGCATCTGATATGGCATTTATGTTTATTTACGCAGATTGACTTCTGACTTGTGCAACCTGCAATTAAACCACACCATGTTGCTTCATTTGGCCAAATGAGAACTGGTCCCCCAACTGAGCCTGTTTTTTCCCAAGTTTTTTTTTTCTTTTTCTCTCCATTCTGTCACCTGATGGAGTTTGGGTTCCTTGTAGTCTCAGCCTCAGACGTCACGCCCACGGAACGTTAGCTAAACGTCTGATGCATATGGTACACTTAACTGGAAACACTTCAGGAATGTCGAAGTCGTCATCTGATTGGTTGAATTTTATCGGATTTCCGGGGGGCGCGAGTGTCGCGTTTATTTTCGGTCCGCCGGGAAACAAAGCGCAGACAAGTGATTGCGGAAGAAAAACTGTTGTGTTTACATGAGTGACAATGAGCATTTATCGAGATCAGCTAAACGTAGGATTCTCAAAAGTATGCGAGGTTCACGGCATAGACTCTTGAAGTTTTCTTCTCCTTCTTTGATTTTCTATGCTGACTGACTTGTTGCACGCAGGTCTGTTGTTGTGGGGACATTACAACGAACTGTAATTGGTTGTTTGACATGTCGGTCAAACGGCCTTATGGGCGGGCCTTGGCCAAAGAAAGCTGCTATGAATTCCAGACCTTCAGCCGTCAGTCTGAAGGTCTGGCTACGCGAGACTAGGTTCCTTGCCACTGTTACCTCTGGCTTGCTTTGTTGTGGTCACTTAAAGGGATAGTTCATCCAAAAAAATGTATTAGCCAATAATTTACTCATCCTGAAGCCATCCGAGGTGTATATGACATGTTTTTTTCAGACGAATACAATCGGACTTCTATAAAAAAATGTCCTGGCTATTCTCAGCTTTATAATGGGAGTGAATCGGTGTATGTCTTTGGAAGTCCATCAAAGTGCATCCATCCCTGATTAAAGTGCTCCACGAGTCTCCGGTGGTTAATAAAGGCCTTCTGAAGTGAAGCGTAAGTGTTCGTGTAAGAAAAATATCCATATTTAAAACTTTATCAACTAAAATAACTAGCTTCTGGCAGACGGCCATACGGATAGATTTACGGTGGAAGAGTAACCCTTGAACTTGACGCATGACGTAATGACGAACGCGGTTGCCCAGCCCTGTTTGTTTGAACCACGAGAGGCGTCAAAGCTTACGCTACTCCTACATCCTATGTCATACATCGTCAAGTGTTACTCTTTTGGTGTAAGTCGATTTGCGTACGGTCGATAAATCAAAACTGAACTGACTTCAGCTGAACAATTACATTTTTTTTTTTTTTTTTTTTAAAGCTGCTTTACAGCCAAATTACAGTTTTCTTCCAACAGGAAGATTTAGTCAATCATAGCACAATGTAATAAAAGCACTAACATCAGATGGAATTAACAGAAACTGCATTATTTTATATGTGTCAGGTCTGCCCTTATACAATAGACAGTATATTGTATTGATCATAGATTGTGTTTTGCACTGCAGTTTCTTTTGAAGTCTCTCTACATTTTTGTTTTGTTTGGGTTTAGTAAACGCGTGCATCTTTGGGGGTTTTTTGCAGCAGAAATTCAATACAAAAAATGAATGACCCTTCTCAGAGTAGCTGTATAGAATGTATGGTTTATGAAACAAAGAAGACAGAGACAGAATTGCTGCAGTAAAGGGTTTATTTGTAACAGGACATTTCTGCAAGATAACAAAAATATGCAAAATAGCTGCCATTTACAGTATTGTATGTGTACAAAATATACAAACAGAAAAAGCCATCTTCAAATCTGCCCTGTCTTCTGCATTTGGCCATGGCCACATGTTCTCATCCACATCACACCTGATATCTTCTCTGGCAAGGCATCTTGGGAAGAATCTTTTGTCATCTTATCCACCCCTGGCAGTGTTCAGCTGTGATGTCTTGGCATGCAGCATCTATTGCATCCAGGAGGGAAATTTGGTCCTGTGGTCAAAAACCTTCCATCTCCAGGCTGAGAAAACTCCTCAATGGGGATGAGGAAAGGGGAGTAAGGGGCAAGGAAAAGGGACATCATCCTCTGATGGGCTTCAAACCAGGCTGTGACTGCACGGGAATGGTGGAATGCCACATTGTCCAATATTTGCAACTTCAATCAGCTGTTTCTCAGTAGCAATGGAATAAGATACAGGGGATATATTTGTGTTTCAGTTCACAATATGAACAGCTGTTCAGTTTGACTTTAACCTATAAGTTAGGTTTAGATCATGATGTTATCTGTTCTGACATACAGTGTGAAAGCATTTGTAAATTTGGCAGTAAAAATACATTGTTTTGGTCTTGTTGAGCTTGTGCGTAAAAAAAAGTTAAAAGTTTTAACTTTTAAAGTTAAAAGTTAAAGTTAATTATTTTAAAATTAAAGGTGACGTGACTTGACTTGTCTTCTAGGGTATTACTATGTGCTGATAAGGTGATTTGGTTGGTTTCTGGGGGAGGGGGGTTTACATTCTGGCCCAAGTGACAAAAGCCCACCGCCAAGTCTCTATTTTGGATTCTAGATATGGCTCAGGTACCTCTTTCACTGTAAGTTTTTGGGATTTCTTTTGATTCGTTTTATGATCTACCAAGAGAAAGTTGTAGGTTTGATTACCTAGAAAAATAATAGCATGAATTGAGGTGCCATTCATATTTTACAAGTGATGCTACTGTACAGTATGTGCTAAGTTTTTTACTTGAGATTGGAGATTTGAACAAACCCTTAAACTAACGAACAATAGTAATAATGATAATAACTTGAAACACCAGTAAACACCAATACTTGTCATACAGGGTGCTGAGTTACAGAGGATGTTTTGTTTTCATGAGAATGGTGTTCATATTTCTAAATGGAGAGAGGCAATATTTTACCTTAGAAACTAAAAATAGACCCTCAGCCACTGAACCTTTACCACAGATATAAATAAACCAGAAGCCCTGGCTCACTTTCTCTTCAAGTCAGTCTGAATCAGAGCAGAGAGTCCTTGAATTCAGACCTACAGACAGTCTAGCGAGGCCTGTTACTTCTCTTTTTAGGCTTGTGGGCCAGAGGTCTTCATTCACTAGAAATCATGAATGAAACAGTTTCATTCAGAACATAAACTTGTGTTCATCACAGACGTAACATAACAAATTAAACTTGTGCTTACTGTTTTAACTGAGTTTCTAGAATACCAGTGTCTATTCTGAAACTAATTGCATCTATATTGTAATTCTCAGTATTCCTTTGATCAAATGTTTGGCAGTTTCTTCTTTTTAGTTGTCAAAATGTTTTATTCAGATAACTATTTCCTATCACCTGTATGTCTGTTGCAGTTTCGATGTGGAAAATGGGTTGTCGATCGGACGCAGTCCACTGGACCCCAGTCCAAGCTCTGGTCTGGTCCTCCAAGCAAACAGCCAGAGGCGAGAGTCTTTTCTTTACCGCTCGGACTCGGATTTCGACATCTCGCCCAAGACGATGTCCAGAAACTCCTCGACTACCAGCGAGCTGTGAGCTTTTATCACATACTAAAGCAAAATATGTCATAGTATTCTGTCATTGAACTGGTTCAACTCATTTTCTGTTCAGAGTGATTTCTTGCTTAATTATTACTTCATCTTTTGGCACGTAGCTCTTAAGAGTAGCTCTAGAAGCAAGTGTGGGATAGATGTTGTAATAAAGTAAATATAAAGTCAGTGTGAAAAACCATTCACAACCTATGTATTTATAAGTGAAACAAGAAATGCTTAAAAAAGGAAAAATGTAAGATGGGATTGGGAGTGCAGAATTAAGAAATAAACCTTTCATTAAAAATGTCAATCAATAAAGTGTGTGTGTGTGTGTGTGTGTGTGTATTGATGATATATGAAACAAGGGCAACACTTGACTTGGGATTATCAGTACTTTCTAGGCAGGTGAGAGGAGCACAGGTGGAGACCAGACAGAGGGAGTAAACAGTGGAACAATGAAGTAGTAGACAGACTATGGAGAACAGATGATGGAGAAATCCAGGTAAGTATATCCAACAGGTAAGATCAACACCTGTGACACAAGTGTCTGAACAACAGACTTTGGTAAACAATGACAAAGAGTGTGTGTACATGTCAGCAGAGTATAAATCCTGTCGTTGATGAGCAGGTAAATGGTGACCAGGTGCTTGCGCAATTAGAATGCAGGTGAGATTGAGCAGAGTGCGCTTCTTACTGAGGATAGTGAGGGAAAGCTTGGTGTAGCCGTGGCCCAAGGTGGAGTAGGGGACCAATACGGAGCAGGAAGCTCCGGGATCCACCAAGATGGAGCAAAAGACCTGAGGGAGGTTGGCTAAGTGGGAGACCTGACCTCAGGATTGCTGCCTGAGCAGGGAAACTCTGGGATGAGGAAGACTTGGGAGTGCCGACAGAGCGGGAAGCCTTTGGCAAGCCGGCCGAGCAGGAGACCATGGTGGAGATGGCAGAGATGGATAACCTTTAGGTAATCAGCATGGATGAGGACTAGTGTGGAGCAGATGAAACCAGAGGATGAGGGACTATGGTTACCATGTCCATCACGAAGGAGAGGGACACAGTTTTTTTGGATGATGAAGATGAAGATGAGGGAGTGGGGAGTGGCCTCCTTGGCCGAGATGAGGGAGCAGACAGTGGCCTCCATGGCTGAGACAAGGGAGCGGAGAGTGGCAGTGACGGCGGTCACCGGACTTAAGACCAACCAGAATACCTGACTTGGGACAACCTTACCACCCGATTTGGGACCACCTAGATGACCTGACTTGGAAACACTGGACTTGGAACCACCCTGACTACTGGACTCAGGGCCACTTGACCAGAAAGCTCTGGGCCTCTAGACTTGGGAGCTCTCCAGAGTGTTCAAAGACAGACTTCTTCCTCCTCTTTCACCTCCTCTTCTGGACTGCAGTCAATGGGGTGCCCCGGACTGGAGAATGGAGGGTTAGAGGGGTCAGTAGGAGGGAAATCTTAAGTGGAATCTGGAAGTTCTAAGATGACTACAGTGGACTGAAGAGGCCCTGGAGAAACTTGATTGAAGCAACTAAGGGTCCTCATCCACTTCTTCCACGGTTGAAGGGGGATCCATCCGATTGAAGGCCCAGATCCAGAAGTTGGCAGATCATCCCTCAAGGATCATTGGCAGGCAGCAGTGATCTGCGGGGTTTGTTAATACTGGCTCTGAAGAAACATATGAGTATCATCCTCATAATTCCTCGAGGGTCCTGGGTGAGGCTAATGAGGCGGAATGCAGGAGTGATGAAAGTTCAGTGTGTTTGGTCTGGTCTTCTGTCATGGAATAATTTTTTTAATGTTTTTTGGGATGACAGGCAATGCCGGTAAGTATATTGATGATAGATAAAACAACACCAGCGCTTAACTTGAGAGTAACACTACTTTCTAGTCAGATGAGACGAGCACACAAGGAGACAAGACAGAGGGAGTAATCACAGCGGATCAAGGAAGGAGTAGACAGACAAAAGAGAACGATGGAGAACAGAGGCAATGGAGAAATCTAGATAAGTATATCCAACAGGTAAGATCAACACAAGAGTCTCAGCGGTCTTTTGTAAACAACAACGAGACCAGACAAAGTGTGTGTGAGTGTTTGAGCAAAGTATAAATGCTGTCCCCGATGAGCATTGATATTTTATTACATACATCAAAATCCAATGGAATCCAAAATCCAGTGGCAATGAAAAAATTAAATTTACATTATTTATTTATTTATTTATTTTTATTTTATTTATTGACACCATACATAAATTAAAACCATACTAAATCATGAAATTTTTTTATACATTAAGAAATGACATGCAAATTATATTCCATTGCACTTAGATGCAAACATACTGTATATTTATTTACTGACACATGTTGTGATTTATTTATTTATTGATGCTTTTAATGAAAAAGGTGTTTGTTAATATGGCACTCCCGATACTACATATATTTATCCATCAGGAAATTATGTTATTGTTGATTGGAGGGAAATTGGTTAAAGGGGATTTTTGACATCAATGGCATTGCAATGTTGTTTTAGAGTCGGAGCGAATTATTACATGTGCACTGGTCAATCATTTACAATAAGACCAGACAAGTGCTTTAAGAAAGTAAATTTGGTCAATATTGATTTCTTGTTAAATATTAATTAAATAAATGAATCTGATCATGACTGTTGACTTCTCTTTTGCAGTCATGGGGAGGACATGATTGTAACGCCTTTTGCGCAGGTCAGTTGAGTGCAAATTTGGTAAATGTGTAATATATATATTTGTAATTTCACAAAGGTTCCAAATAATTGTGCAAGGCACTATGTAAATTCTATTGTGCAGATGAATGTGTAACACTTACACATATGTCTTACAAGTGGTGTAACAGCTGTAGCTCTTAACTGTGTGTGTGTGTGTGTGTGTGTGTGTGTCAAACCTACAACATGTCAATTAATCGATAAAGTATATATATTTGTGTGTGTGTGTACTATAGGTTCTTGCCAGTCTGCGTACAGTGAGGGGTAACGTTGCAGCTTTAACCCACATGCAAGATAGAAGCAACAAGTGAGTTTGTAGTCAAAACATCTTCAGATAGTCAGCGAATGGAATGATTAATGAGAAAAATATTTATAACAATTGTCACATGAGGTCTCTTTAATCTTGTTTTTTTATATATATATATATCAGGAGACCGTCAGGCACTAACCCTCAATCTGCCTCTAAAACAAACCAGACTGGTGAGTGGAAGAACATGAGCTGGTCTAGCCAAAGATGAGGATTTTTTTTCTTGCTGTAAACCTCAGGCAGATTTAGACGTAAAGGTTTGAACATCTGAGTAGTCACCAGAAATGAAAATGATGTATTTGAGGCTTATTCTAACATTATTTAAAAAAACCCGGACTGTTTTGACATCTAAGGGTTTGTTTTTCTAGATGAATCATATCAAAAACTCGCTGTCGAGACTCTTGAAGAGCTGGACTGGTGTTTGGACCAGCTGGAGACCCTGCAAACACGTCACTCTGTCAGTGAAATGGCCTCCAATAAGGTATTTAAACCAATATTTAATCCAAAAAAAAAAAAAAAACATTAATAATTGACTCTCCTTAAAACATGAAAAGATCATAAAGCTGGTCATACAGCACAGCTTTACACTATATTAGAATACTATACTTCTGCAGCCATATGTCCATTTTAAAGCATTGCTTAAAGGAAGTATTTTTACTAAATAAATATTTTTAATAGTTTTGAAATAAAGCTGAAATAAAATAATGTTGCCTTGGCAACTAACTGAAACAAAATACATTTTAATTGAAGTACTCAAATTACTAAAACGAAAATACATTAAAATTTAACATAAAATACATATATAACATAAAAATATATAAATAAAAGCTAATTTTAAATATTTCTTTAATATTATAATAGATACTAAAATAAACACTGCACACAATGCAATCATATGACTTAAGAAGACTTGGAATATAGTGCATGAGTAATATGTTCTATAATATTTTAATAGTTATCAGAATTTAGTCGTTTTTATTGGTTATTAATAGGTTTTGGGTACAGGAAGAAGGTACATTTTAATTAAGGTTTTTTGATTATAATAACATTTAAGTAACATGAATTCAATTCACATTTGATGTTGTGCATGTTCCATGCATAAAGTCAAAAACAAGATAATACAAAACCAACACATTTCAGTACAATACTGAACAGAAACTTGGACCTTACGTCCAAGCAATGTTGTCAGAGTGGTTTCAGTCATTACAGTACATGAGGCACACTGTATATTTGACTGTACTGTCATGTACTATACCGTCAAAAGGCTCATGCTTCAGTGCTTGAAATTAGTTTTTCTGACAAAACTATTTCGGTCTTTTATTGCAATGCATCATATTCAGTTTATTATGTGTTAATTAGAGCTGTAATTCATTTTTCTGATGCATGATTACATAACCCCACCAATGCACTGTAGAGTCTGAATGAGTGTCACTGGCCTTTTGGTATGGACTCGGTTACCATAGTAACTAAGTAACATGTTGAATATTGTGCTGTACAGTTCTGATGGCTGATCAGTGGCAATGTTCATAACACTAGTTCTCTTACGAGAGGTTCTCTCGTATTGCGTAAATTTAGCTTACGCTACGGGTAAAGTTCATCTTTGCTCGAGATATTGAAGCCAAAATTATCCTTAATTTTGTATATATTGTCAACGCAGTGCAGCAACTGCAGACCTAGAACAGGCTGTCTAGCGTGCTCATTGGCTGCCTTGCGGCAACTGCAGCAGCCTACCAGTGAGCCTGGCGTGATGTCACGCCCAATGGTGGCGCTTCGCGCCCACTACGCGTCACAGCCCGCGCAAGGGGGTGTGGCTTAGCGTATAAAAGCTGGGCTCAGAGGCTGCTTTCCTGATTTTTCATCTCTTCAGCGAAGCTCTTCATACCGCTGGATCCGAGAGAACCCGCCGTCGTCGAATCCAGCGACTGCCAGCAGAGGAAAGCGCCTGAGGAAGCCGGTCGACTTCTCGCCGCCTTCAGCCTTTCGTGCCAGCAACGCTATCCGGCGACAATATCCTTTACCGCTCTTTTTCACTGTATTTACTGTGTGTGTGTGTGTGCTTGCCGCTGCGACACACACTTCTCTAAAAGAGCGCTCGCACACCACAATATTTTCACAAACCGTTCCCCATTCGTAGCAATCGGGACGTCTCACGTGACACAGCCAGCTGCTGCTGTCAGCGAGCCGCCGTGTCCAGGCTCTCATATCTGTCAAGCCATGAATGTAAGTCACGTGCCCGCTCACGAGCGCTCACGCTTACTAACAGACACACCGCCTCCGGCGCCGCTCGCACAGTACAAGTGCTCACTCGACGTTCCCCATTCAAAGCAATCGGGTCGTCATATATGAAACAGCTAGTCACTGCTGGTTATCCGGCTCACGCAGATGGTGTTTTACGTGTAGAAAATGTGCCCATGTCCCAGTGTTCACCCCTACACACAAGCACTCAAAAACATGTGTCCCTCAGGCCCACAGAGCCCACTCTCATAAAGCTGGCAAATGCCGCTCGAGTGTTAGATGTAGACATCGCGCCCGCGAACTCGCGCTCGCGTCCATCTCATGCCCGCTCTGTCACATGGCCATTTCAACCTCAAGTAAGTCAGGTTATGAGTGTAAGTCACGTGCCCGCTCACAAGCGCTCAATCTTACTAACAGACACACTGTCTCCGGCGCTGCTCGCGCGTCACAAAATGTTCATGGCACGCTCCCCGTTCACAGTAACCGGGTCGCCTCATTTAAAACAGCCAGCTGTTGCTGTCAGCGAGCCGCCGCATATAGACACCCATATGAGTCAGGCTGCGATTGTAAGTCAGCGCGCTCACGCTTACTAATAAACGCCTCGCCTCCGGCGCTGCTCACTCGCTACAAAGCTCTCAGAAAACGTTCCCCGTTTAGTGTAACCGGGACGTCACATATGAAACAGCGTGCCATCGCTGTCAGCGAGCCGCCGTGTCTAAGCCGCTTCATCCAAGCACCGAGGACGCGCGTGCCGCGCCCACATCTCCGTTTCAGTTCCCGAAGCCCACAGTGTGCGGCGACCGGAACCCGGAGGCCATTCTCCCCCTGGCCACACATGCACAAGCATGGGAAGCCATTACTGGGGTTTCAGAGTGGGTGCTAAGCACAATAAGACAGGGTTATGCACTACAGTTCGCTCGCCGTCCCCCGCGTTTTCACGCTCGGACCGAGTCGACAGTGAGCGCGAAAGTAGCACATCTACTTCGCGCAGAAATAGCCAAACTGCTGTGCAAAGGAGCTATAGAACCGGTGCCGCCTTCTCTGAGCGAGTCAGGCTTTTACAGCCATTATTTTCTCGTACCGAAGAAGGACGGAGGCCTGAGGCCTATATTAGATCTGAGATTTTTGAACAAAGCTCTCATGAGGAGACCGTTCAAAATGATTACAACCAGGCAGATCCTCGCGCAAATTCGCCCGAAGGACTGGTTTATATCTCTCGATCTGAAAGACGCGTATTTTCAGATACAGATTATACCCCGTCACAGGCCATTCTTGAGATTCGCCTTCGACGGCTAGGTATATCAGTACACCCTCCTCCCGTTCGGCCTGTCCCTGGCACCCCGTACATTTACGAAGTGGATGGACGCGGCGCTCGGCCCCCTCAGATGTCAGGGTGTGCGAATTCTGAACTACTTGGACGACTGGCTGATTCTAGCACAGTCAGAAATAGAGCTCATATCTCACAGAACTATGCTTCTCAGTCACTTGGAAAGATTGGGCCTCACGGTCAACTGGACCAAGAGCCAGTCAATCTCCTTTTTAGGAATGGAACTGGACTCCGTGGCTATGAAGGCTCAGCTGTCAACAGAGCGCGCGCGCCGTGTTCGACACCTAGCCGCATCTTTCCAGAAGGGCAGAACCGCCTCCCTGAAAAAATTTCAGAGGATGCTGGGCTGTATGGCCTCAGCTGCAGCAGTGCTTCAGCTGGGCTTACTTCGCATGCGCCCGCTACAACGCTGGTTGAACGCCCGCATACCCCGTAAGGGGTGGACGTGCGGCTACAAGCGGATCAGGATATCTCAGAGCTGCATTTCAGCTCTGTAGCCCTGGTTAGCGGCCAATTGGTACCAGCAGGGGGTGACAATGGGAGCGATTTCCCATCGGAAAATCATCTCGACAGACGCCTCCAACTCAGGTTGGGGAGGCCTTTTCGAGGGCAGACCGGTCTTTGGCCTGTGGTCAGACCGAGAGAAATGCCTTCACATAAACTGTCTGGAGATGCTGGCGGTCGAGAACGCGCTGAAGCGCTTCCTCCCGTTCATACAGGACCAACACGTTCTAGTCCGCTCGGACAACATGTCGGTTGTGTCCTACGTGTACCGCCAGGGCGGTGTCAGATCCAGGAGCCTCTGCGATCTGGCAGAACGCCTCCTCGTTTGGACCCAGTGCTTCCTCCGCTCGCTGAGAGCGACGCACGTGCCAGGGATCCTGAACGAAGGACCGGACAGATTGTCCAGGGACAATATTCCCCCCGGGGAATGGTCTTTACACCCCCAAACAGTCCAGCTGTTATGGCGCCTCTTTGGCAGAGCGGAAGTCGACCTATTCGCGTCAAAGGACAACGCTCATTGCCCAGTGTTCTTTGCAAAGAACGAGGATGCGTTGGCCCAACCGCCCGCTATATGCCTTCCCTCCGATCTCTATGTTACCACAGGTAATCAAGAGAATCAGGGAATCGCACAGCCCAGTGCTCCTCATAGCCCCGCGATGGGAGAACCAAACCTGGTTCCCGGAACTAACACGGCTGTCACGCACAGCCCCGTGGCCGATTTCGGTGAGGAGGGACCTCCTCTCTCAAGCCTGCGGCTCGATCTGGCATCCCCACCCAGAGCGCTGGTCTCTGCACGTGTGGTTGATCAACGGATACCCGTTATCCTGCCAGAAGGAGTTATGAACACGATCACGCAATCTAGAACCCCCTCTACGAGACGGCTATATGCGTCTAAATGGTCTGTGTTCTCCAAATGGTGCACCGACAAAAAACTGGACCCCAAAACGGGTGAGGTTTTGCAGGTGCTCGGTTTCCTTCAAGAGCTGCTGGATAACGCTCAAGTATACGTGGCGGCCGTTGCAGCCTTCGCTGAGTCGAAGCAAGGCCGGTCGCTAGGAAGGAACGAGCTGGTCATCCGCTTCTTAAGAGGAGCCAGAAGGATGAACCCTCCACGCCCACCTTCGGTTCCTATTTGGGATCTCTCCGTGGTCCTAGAGGCCCTAAAGATGCATCCCTTAGAACCATTAGATTCAATGAATCTAAAATACCTCTCGCTCAAAACCGTTTTTCTTTTGGCTCTGTCATCAGTTAAACGTGTGGGGGACTTACACGCGCTATCTGTTAGCGCAGCGTGCCTTGAGTTTGGCCCGAATGACTCTAAAGTCATCCTCAAACCGAGACATGGCTATGTCCCGAAGGTGATTGGCACTCCCTTCAGAGCGCAGGTCATTTCTCTGTCGGCTCTGCCAGCATCCGACAGCGTGAGCAGCGACAGCCTCCTCTGCCCTGTCAGGGCACTGAGAGCTTACGTTACGCGCTCCGCCCCCTTCAGACGCTCCGAGCAGCTCTTCGTTTCGTTGGCGGGCGCACCAAAGGTCTCGCCGCCTCGAAACAGTCCCTATCCAGATGGATAGTGGACGCGATTTCTGCTGCCTACGCGTCAAAAGTTCTGCAATGCCCTCTGGGCATCAGGGCTCATTCCACAAGAGGCATGGCCTCGTCGTGGGCATGGTCCAGTGGAATTTCCATTCACGACATCTGTATGGCGGCGGGCTGGGCCTCCCCATCTACATTTGTGAGATTCTATAGATCCTTGCAGGCTAGACTTCTCTCAGTCTAATGTGTGTATGATCTGCCCACATCACTGGTGCGCAGGCTACCTCAACGTTAGCTCTCCTGGTTGAGCTGCACTAATATGGGTTGGTATACATGTACATGCAGCCCGGCGCCGCCGCTCTGCATTCCCCATGGGTGCTTATGTTTATACATGTGTCGGCCCGCTTGCTGGCCGCCTGAATTTCCCACTTTCAATGTTCCCCGGGTTGGGACTCATAGAGTGGATGCTGGGCGCGCACGGCGTTGACAAAGTGTTCCCGTAGCGTAAGCTAAACTTACGCAATACGAGAGAACCTCTCGTAAGAGAACGGACTCGGTTACCTAACGTAACCTCGGTTCTCTCTAGAGAGGGAACGAGTATTGCGTAACCGGCCGTGCTAAGCGCCACGAGCGATTTTCGCTTCAGATCATGAAAACCAGGGAAGCAGCCTCTGAGCCCTGCTTTTATACGCTAAGCCACACCCCCTTGCGCGGGCTGGGACGCGTAGTGGGCGCGAAGCGCCACCATTGGGCGTGACGTCACGCCAGGCTCACTGGTAGGCTGCTGCAGTTGCCGCAGGGCAGCCAATGAGCACGCTAGACAGCCTGCTCTAGGTCTTCAGTTGCTGCACTGCGTTGACAATATATACAAAATTAAGGATAATTTTGGCTTCAATATCTCGAGCAAAGATGAACTTTACCCGTAGCGTAAGCTAAACTTACGCAATACTCATTCCCTGTCTAGAGAGAACCGAGGTTACGTTAGGTAACCGAGTACGTTTTCTTCCGGACTGTGAAATATCATCTACTGTTCACAGTTACATTTATTGTATCATTTGCTGTCGGTATTACACTGCAATTAGTTCCATAATGCAATAAATGGAGTTTTGTGATTAGAATATAATGTTTCACTTTTATTTGTTGTATTATTTTTAGTTTAAAAGAATGCTCAACAGGGAGCTAACTCAGCTATCTGAGACCAGCCGGTCAGGAAACCAGGTGTCGGAATTCATAGCAAGCGCAATTTTACGTGAGTGACTACTTAATGTAATTTAAATGTAATTATGAGACAGGATTTGTAATAACATGGTGTGTTTACTATTAACTCTTTCCCCGCCAAACACAGAATTTGTATGACACTATATAAAACATACTTTTTTAACAGCCCTGAAGTGATTATTCAAATTCAAAATAAGTACCTACTCAAGAGAGTATGCGATTTCGGACGCAGCCCAAGTGTGCCGCACAAGTCCTGAAAAGTGAAACCTAAAACGTCGCCCCCCGGTGGCTGGATGCAGTATAGGTCATAAACCCCGCCCTCTCCATGTAATCTAATGGGACGTGAGACAAACTGAACAATCAAATTACACTTCAAATTTTTTACAAAGATGGTTTGTCATTTAGGAAGTTTTTTATCACGCTGATGTAAGTTCAAGTGTTCGTTTTTAAATAAGTTTGCTTTTAGTTAGTTAATTGATGCTATAAAAACAGGGTTTGACGTCATGATTGACAGCTTCTCTGAGCAAGCTATTCACTGAGGCACCAGCTGACTTTTGGGATCTTCGGGTGGAGATTGGAGTTTCAACTTCAATCTCTACATTTCCATAACTGTTTATTTCACACCCACATAATGAGTTGTTCTGCAGTAAACTTTCAAGATGCAGAAACAACAATGTCATATGTAATCATATGCATATGTAAAATAACACGATCATCAATATTAAACAGCAATTAAACAGCATATAAATCAAAACTGCCTAATGTTACTGTCACGAGGTGAGGTTGAAGCAAGGAGGAAGCAGGATCCAAATGCAGCACGTTTATTTAAATACACTCAAACTATACAAAGACTCAGGCAAGGGAACAAGACTCGGGAACAGAACAACCTACATCGGCGTAACAACGACAAGAACTCACAAGGACTGAACTAAAACACAGGGTTTAAATACACGGGCAAACAAGCTAAACAAGATAACAAGGGGGCGTGGCTAATCAGAAACACCTGGGGAGACTAATAGACATAACAGGAAACAGCTGACATTGGGGCGGTAATGCTCTTTTTAAGAATGCGAACCGCCAATAAGCCCAAAGAAGAAGAAGAAGAAGAAGCTGACATTGGACAGGGGAACACCGACGTGAATCATAACAGTTACTGAATGAAATGTCGACCCAGGATGAGTTACTGGACTGTGCAAGCTTTAGGGGTGTTAATGGACTCAATCTACTCCATGTTTTAATCATCATTCTGAAACCGATCCAGATGTAGTCTTTGACAAAAATGTTTTCTCAGCTTTTTGCTCAAAATGTTGCTTTTTTTAATGAAACTTTCCATATTCAATTGTAAAAAAAAAAAAGAAAAGAAAAAAGAATGCATGTTTTTGTTTTTTTAAAGCAGAGGGTCTGTTCTTTCTTTGATATATTGCATGTTCAGATATTCATACAACAAAATATTCTGGGGGCCATGAAATTTTTATGAAAATTATCAAAAACGCTGGCGGTGGCTGGCAACTTTTTTTTTTTAAAATGCTGGCGGGGAAAGATTTAATTCAGATTTTTAAACTGTGTCTTGCTTTCAGTCTGAATGTAGCTCAGGGCTTTTCACATACTTTTTGTGTTTGTGTTGCAGAAAAACAGCATGATGTGGAGATTTTGTCAGCAACTTGTAAGGAGGAGAAAAAACGGCGCCCAATGTCTCAGATAAGTGGAGTGAGAAAACTGAGCCCCAGCCCGAGTCTCCCACCAACATGCATCCCACGATTTGGTGTCAACACGCAGCACGAGAGCCTCCTGGCCAAGGTATCCATTCATTTCATTTTATGTTAATGAATTATTATTTTTAATATTGTTAATATTATTATTAGTGCTATTCATTGGAGAAAAAAAAGACCATATCTTTTACTCCAGGGGCTTGAGGACATGGACCGATGGGGTATAGATATTTTTAAGATAGCGGAGTATTCTGGGAATCGGCCACTGACAGTCATAATGTACACCGTTTTTCAGGTAAGGTTTTTGAACGTTTTCCTGCTTTGCTATTGTATTTCATACAATATATATATATATATATATATATATATATATATATATATATATATAGCCTTGATTTAAAAAGAAAAATACAGTAGATAAAGCCATTGTTGGAAAAACTTCCAAAAGAAAAAGCTCATAGTTTGATCATTGGTGTGAAGCATTAACTGGAAGCTTTCCTTTGTATTTTTTTTTTTTATGTTGATTTTAACTGCAGATTTGACCCTTTATGTACTCTGTTATTCTCAGGAGCGAGATTTGCTCAAAACCTTTAAAATCCCATCGGACACCTTCTTAACTTTTCTGATGACTTTGGAAGACCACTACCATGCAGACGTGGCCTACCATAACAACATCCACGCAGCAGACGTTGTACAGTCTACACACGTTCTTCTCTCCACACCTGCCCTAGAGGTCTGCATGGATGTGTACACACATACACAGTGCTCATGGGAATTAACCTAAAAAAACAGACATATACTGGTATTGACAATGTTTTTTTTCGGGGTTTTTTTTACTTTCAGGATGTGTTCACCGATCTTGAGATCATGGCTGCTCTGTTTGCCAGTGCTATTCATGATGTGGATCATCCAGGAGTGTCCAACCAGTTCCTCATTAACACAAGTACGACTCTGACAAACCATTAAAATGACTCCCAGATTCATTCACTTAGGCTCTCTCCCCAACACAAATACATGAAAGACTATCTAAAAACCTTGGACCTTAGTATGTTGTTTTTCTCTTCACTCTTTCAGACTCTGAACTGGCTCTCATGTATAATGATGCCTCAGTGTTGGAGAATCATCACTTGGCTGTCGGCTTCAAGCTTCTACAGGAGGAAAACTGTGATATCTTTTGTAATCTCAGCAAGAAACAAAAACAGTCGCTGCGACAGTTGACTATAGATATGGTGATTCTTTGTGATATATTTGTGAAAATCATCATTAAATGTTAGCGTAAACGTCCCGATATACTCATAGCGAAGTTCTTTTTCATTCTTCGCTCAGGGGTAAAACGAAGTTTGAAATACGTAACCAGTGATATACTTTTAGCGAATAACCAACACCGCCCACACTGCTGAGAATATGTATATTTAAATATGTGCTGTGTACTTTCCTCTCAATAACAAAATAAACAGTAAGCATTTTGTAATAAAGCATAAGAAAAGCATCTGATCATAGCAACGTGGATATGTTTGCACAAGTTCTGCAATTCGGCACTCCGGTAAAGTCACGTCACGTTTATTTATGTAGCACTTTATACAATAGATTGCTTAAAATAAGGCAGCTTTACCGTATTAAACACGAAAAACCATGTCAGTGTCTCAAGTACAACTTCATTTTCTACTATAAAGCAGCTCTCCATGTGAAGATGGAAAGAACAGAAGAAATGAACCAGAAAAGATTTCCACGCGAAAGAAGGCGGAGCCTCCACGCACACTATTACGTAATCGCCATGAACCAATGGTAGTACAAAGATGTTTACCAGCTGTAGCGAACTTTTCCGGAAAGTTTGCTTTGGCAAGATGTTTCGAACTCCCAGAACGAATTCCAATCGAACTTCGTTTTGGCCTGATTTTGTTCGAAATTACATCACAGCAGTTTGTTCTTCGATTTCGCTTGAAGTATATTGGGGCGTTAATACTATGTAATTGTGTATAAACACTTATACAGATATATACAGACTACTGATGGTTATAGTAATGATTCAGTAATGATTTTGATTCAATTTAATGACTTTTACTACTTTTGAACAAGCACCAAATATCTGATCCTTCATACATTTTATCATACACTCACCTAAAGGATTATTAGGAACACCTGTTCAATTTCTCATTAATACAATTATCTAATCAACCAATCCCATGGCAGTTGCTTCAATGCATTTAGGAGTGTGGTCCTGGTCAAGACAATCTCCTGAACTCCAAACTGAATGTCAGAATGGGAAAGAAAGGTGATTTAAGCAATTTTGAGCGTGGCATGGTTGTTGGTGCCAGACGGGCCTGTCTGAGTATTTCACAATCTGCTCAGTTACTGGGATTTTCACGCACAACCATTTCTAGGGTTTACAAAGAATGGTGTGAAAAGGGAAAAACATCCAGTATGCGGCAGTCCTGTTGGCGAAAATGCCTTGTTGATGCTAGAGGTCAGAGGAGAATGGGCCGACTGATTCAAGCTGATTGAAGAGCAACTTTGACTGAAATAACCACTCGTTACAACCGAGGTATGCAGCAAAGCATTTGTGAAGACACAACACGTGCAACCTTGAGGCGGATGGGCTACAACAGCAGAAGACCCCACCGGGTACCACTCATCTCCACTACAAATAGGAAAAAGAGGCTACAATTTGCAAGAGCTCACCAAAATTGGACAGTTGAAGACTGGAAAAATGTTGCCTGATCTGATGAGTCTCGATTTCTGTTGAGACATTCAGATGGTAGAGTCAGAATTTGGCGTAAACAGAATGAGAACATGGATCCATCATGCCTTGTTACCACTGTGCAGGCTGCTGGTGGTGGTGTAATGGTGTGGGGGATGTTTTCTTGGCACACTTTAGGCCCCTTAGTGCCAATTGGGCATCGTTTAAATGCCACGGCCTACCTGAGCATTGTTTCTGACCATGTCCATCCCTTTATGGCCACCATGTACCCATCCTCTGATGGCTACTTCCAGCAGGATAATGCACCATGTCACAAAGCTCGAATCATTTCAAATTGGTTTATTGAACATGACAATGAGTTCACTGTACTAAAATGGCCCCACAGTCACCAGATCTCAACCCAATAGAGCATCTTTGGGATGTGGTGGAACGGGAGCTTCGTGCCCTGGATGTGCATCCCACAAATCTCCATCAACTGCAAGATGCTATCCTATCAATATGGGCCAACATTTCTAAAGAATGCTTTTTTAGCACCTTGTTGAATCAATGCCACGTAGAATTAAGGCAGTTCTGAAGGCGAAAGGGGGTCAAACACAGTATTAGTATGGTGTTCCTAATAATCCTTTAGGTGAGTATATATTGATATTTTATTTATTTTATAAACAAAAATACTTATCATGATGCTATTTTGGTCACATTGCTTAAAGTACTATTATTACAACAAAACTCTGTTCTTAATGTGTATCTTTACTACACAGATTTGAAATTACACTCATTTACCTTTTAGGGACCTTATGGAAAACATAACAGTGAAATATCGTAACCAGATCTGTCTGATACTAATGATGTTTCAGTGATTGAGTCAGATTTAGTAACTGTTCCAAATGATTCAGAGAGGTAATGAGTGATTTAGACCAATGAGTTTGCCAGTGACTACAGTCAGTAGTAGTAGTCTGATTCACAAATTAATGAATCATTTGAACTGGTTTCTTTTTTTAAATGACTCACAGATGAGTGAGTCATTTAAAAAAAAAAAACCAGTTCAAATGATTCATTAATTTGTGAATCAGACTACTACTACTGACTGTTTGTTATTTTACAACATGTATTTCATCCAGACTGTTGATTAAACTGAATAACATAAAAAAAACTACACAATTTCCAACCCTAATAAAACATGAAGATAAACCTTTTTAAGATGTCACATTTCAAACACGGTTTTTAATACTCATGGGTCTAATACCAAATTTCCTGTCGTCTTTTCAGGTATTAGCCACTGATATGTCCAAACACATGAATTTCCTGGCTGACCTGAAGACAATGGTGGAAACTAAAAAAGTGACCAGTCTAGGAGTCTTACTGCTGGACAACTACTCAGACCGTATACAGGTATTGCAGGTCTTACTCTACCAAATACAAAGTACAATTCCAGTATTAGAGATGTGAGGCCCAGTATAATTTGGGGCCCCTGATAGCATCACTAAATTCAGCCCATTTAAAGCACCACAGCCACACACAAAAAAAAATAAAAAAAATTCAAAGAGAGTAAACAATTCACTAAACAACACTATTTAAGTCTTTTTTCAGTTGACTAGTCAACCATCCTGATCCACCCCTAGCTATTACTGGCTTTGTAGTGCTATTTGCACAGCTAAATGGCTAGTCAGATGTAAAACTTCTTAATTCTTTCCTTCTAAAGGTGCTCCAGAACATGGTGCATTGTGCTGACCTCAGCAACCCCACAAAACCCTTGGAGCTCTATCGACTGTGGACAGATCGCATCATGGTGGAGCTCTTCAGTCAGGGTGACCACGAGCGTGACAAGGGCATAGAAATCAGCCCCATGTGTGACAAACACACGGCTTCGGTAGAAAAAACTCAGGTATCCTGTAAAAATCTGATTATGTCTCCTATTTTAGGGGGTTTCAAAACAGACATGGGTCCATAAACAAAAGAGAGTGAAAGTGAGAGTTTTTTATTATTATTATTACAATATTTATTTTTAGGCCTGTCAAAGTTAATTTGTGCTCTTGATATATTAATAAATTATGTTTAGTATAATGATTTAAAATTATGTTTAGTATAATGATTTTAATATTCACTAAATTTGATAAATGAAATCATGAGATAAATTATGATTTTTTTATTCTATTAATATCAAAATTTGTAACTGTTTGTTAATAAATAAATAGTAAAAAATATGTGTATTTAAAGCCAATAATTAAAAAAAAAAGTCTTTATAAAATGACTCTTAATATTTTTATATTAGAATTAAGTATTACATTTTTATACTTAAAAAATATATAGCTGTTTTTGTATTTTAGGAAGAGGGTACCTTGCAAAAATGATCAAATGTGGGGATTAACAAGTTAAAAAACCCTGTCCTATACTATACTAATGATTACTGTGTTTGAATATTGTTTCTTAAGGTGGGATTCATTGATTACATTGTCCACCCTCTATGGGAGACATGGGCTGATCTGGTCCATCCAGATGCTCAGGACATTCTAGATACATTAGAGGACAATCGAGAATGGTACCAGAGCATGATCCCACGCAGCCCGTCGCCCACCCCCGAAGAGCAGGACTCACGGGCCACGGTGGGCTCAGCCGGGGAGAAGTTCCAGTTCGAGCTGACTCTGGAGGAAGAGGATGGAGAGTTAGAGGCTGAAGAGGAGCACATGGATGCAGAAAGATCAGGGACTATGACGGACACCAGGCATCCACAAATGTCCCCCCTTCGAGTCACTCCCATTTTAGACAGCAGTGAAAGAGAACTGGACCAAGAAATGACCAGCGCATCCATCCTGCAGTTGGAAACTTAACATGACCCAGTATACCAACCGTAGCACTGTTCATTTGTGTTTCTAAGTTGCACTTATTAGTTTGGGGTTGAGTAGAACAACCATTCACTAAAAACTAAAAAGACATTAGACCCAAGGTTTATCTGACCAAATAACCTGTATTTTAAAGCTATATTTGTGTCCCAGACACAAACTTTTCCAAAAGGACTGAGGCCGAAGTTGTAGATGAATGTTTTTGTGGTCTCATGCCGTATGGAGAAACATGAGTCTTCCCTTGAGTGACTGTCCATGCCAATTGCAGAGGAAAGCTGATTTGCTCATTATGTGAACTTTTTCACTGGACTGTAGTATATTTAATATCCTGACCATTTTTAACAATGGATAAATTAATGTTTTGTTTTGTTTTTTTACACTGAAATGAAACGGGACAGTTGCGAGAAATATTTAAGGCAAGACACCACAGGTGAATTGGGTAAACATTTTAACTAATATATCACTATAATTCTCCAGTTGATTAAACACAGTACATTAAGACCATTTTTGGAACACTTTATTTTACAGTGTCTGTTACACGTTACATGTACTTGCTATAATAACAGCAGTAAATTATGCAGAATTACAAGCAACAAACCTTAAACCAAACCCTTATCCTACCCCTATAGTAAGTTATTATTGCTCAGTATTTAAATGTATAATTACACTGTAACACGGACAGTGTAACCCTTTATTTTAAAGTGTCCGTGTTACAGTGTAATTAACATTTAAGTACTGAGCAATAATAATTAACTACAATAATTTACTATAGGGTCAGGGTTGTTAGAATTAGGGTTAGTTGCAAGTAATGATGCACATTTTATAGTAATTACTAGTAACTACATGTGACGTGTAACAAGGACACGAAGATAAAGTGTTACTAAAAAAAGATAAGCTCATTTTTTCTATTACAAATTTTCTGAAATGTTGTTTCAATATTCAAATTAGGCATTATCTAATTCAATATGCACTAATTTGCATGCATTTTATGAACAAAAATCTGTACATTGGTTCAAAATATTTTATTTTGTTAAAATATTAGACATAAAGGTTTTTACAGAGGGAGTTTTGGATATCTTTTTATCAAAAAAAAGAAAGAAAAAAAGCTGTATTAATCAGGCGAATGGAAGGAAGTTTTGCTTGTAGTGTCTTGCCCTAACAGGTCAGCGATAAGATTGTGATTGCTAACAACCTCAGGATAATATTGATTTCATTTTAATGTAGCAAGACTCCAAAGTGCAGTCACTAAACAATCTGTTTATAATCTTGTTTTGAACAAATAAGAAAAGAAAAAAAGAAACATTTAAACTAAAAGCCAAATTTATGGGCTCAAGACCACCATACGGAGAATCCCTTTACATGTGTCTTTGTACTGAAATACCTTTATACCTCTTAAACATTAGCACTATGTAGACATAATGATTATATAAATAGAAACAGGGTTGATGTTTTATCTGATTTATGAATGAATTCGAATGGTGACAGATCTTCTCATGTTTGCAAATCTAAACTCACCTAAACTTGACCCTCACGAGTGAATCAGTGTTTTACGGCCTGTGCCCATGTTAGACATTGTCAAATTGAAGATGACCTCTGGCTGAAGTGAAAGCTGAAGTGGATCTGATATCTTTCGTGGTTGCATGGTTACAGGTGGATTTAAACAGTAAGTTCTGATCCCAGACCAGCGCACACAACCCTTACTCTTAGCCAAACGCATGGCCACCTCACATAAATGGCTTTGACAAAATGATCCTTAAGATCCTGCTCTGATATTGCACTCATTTCCAGAGCTTTTTGCCTCAAAATATTCCATAAATATCTGGCTATATACAATCAGAAACATGCTATGAAATTACAGAGGAATTTTGAAGGTGAAGTGTGCAATTTAAATATATATATATATATATATATATATATATATATATATATATATATATATATATATATATATATATATATATATAGTTTCCTAGTTTTCCAGTAAAGGCAACTAAAAGTAAGTCATTTGCATGTTGATATCCCTGAAAAGGGTAAACCAAACTAGGATCAGAAAAAAATTTGTCAAATTGTGTGAAATCAATAAATAAAAACATTTAATACATTAACATGATATAACATGCTTCATTCTAAATACTGCTCAGAAATTACAAGACTATCATTTGAGTAGCAAAACGATTTTATTATAATCCTCTATCTATAATCTATAGATCATATTTGAACATTTTCCAGATAATATTTTATTACATATTTTATTTATTGGGGTATAACTCTCTCTTCTTCTGATCAATCAGAGATGGGGGTCTGCTTGGGAAACCTGTTGTAAAATGATTTGTTTTTTTTATTTATAGTAGCCCAGGAATTACACATTTCACCTTTAGTTTGTTTAAGAATATGAAACCGTGATACATAATGATTTTGTTTAATTAAAAAAAAAAAGTAGTCAGCAGTGCTGGGAGAGAAGCTGTTGCCAGATTGATACTAAATGCTAAAAGTGCCACCCAAAAGCCTTGGACACACTCATTCTCAGAGATCAGAAAAGAAATGCAAGCATACAGCCTTGAAGCACATCCCTTTAGCTTCAGTGCCATTACAACAGTGACTGTGAAACATTTATAGTGTCGAAAATGAATTTTGTTGTATGATATTAACTAAACTGTCTCCTCTTCTCTGTAATAATGTGGTATGTTAATATGTGTCCTCTGTTTGTTAGTATTACATTGTCAAAAAAAAAAAAAATTCAGTTTGTTTACAGGTTGAGGTCACATATGTTTCAGATAAAGGTGATCACAGTGTGTGTTTGTGTTCTCCACTGTCAGAGCCAATAAAATACTTCATTTTTATTTAAGATTGTTCTGAATTGCCAATAGAAACAACAACAAAAAATACAACAACAATTCTGTTGTGTGGTTCTTTGTTTTAAGCAATAATTTATAAATAAAATGCCAAGAACATGTAAAGTCCAGAGCAGGTACAATTCGACTGGTTAGCTTCGACTATATCGACTACATAATATAATATAATATAATGCAGGCAGTGTATGTCAGAGCTATTGAGATGAACAGGAATGCTAATAGGTCTCTCCTGGTACTATTACAGTCCTCTGGTCTGGTGGTAGCAGTATTAGAAAGACATATTCTCATTCTGAAAGCATTTAATTGGCCAAAAGAATGCATGTGCCCTTGAGATGAGTCACTAATATTTTTGCTCTGTTTTTGTGGAAAATGAAGAATGCAGGTAACATTTTACATTTTAAAATATTAATAAAACGCATATATGTATACTTCATACAAACTTCAGCATTACCCTTGCATATAGATCACCTCAAAGCGAACTAGCATGCCACAAAACTCATTTCAACTGGGGTCCTGGAATGCTCCATAAAGACTTCTCATAATTTGAGTAAACATGAAACATGAACACTGGATGGCGCTAAAATAACGCTAAATTATCTAATAAATACAACAAAATAATATAGCCCTAATATTATTATAGTTATGTTATGTTATTATAATATAATATGCCCTACATATATTATTAGGAGGAAATAATATTATTATAATGCTTTTGTCAAGAAATTATTGCGTTGAAAATCACCATGCTAACCATTGTTATGGTCAGCATAGAATAGTTACCACAGTTATTGTTACTACAACATGAGAGTCAAACATTGGTTACATATTAGTGTGATGAAAAGGACACTGACCTGCACCGCTAATGTAAACAAATCCCTGTGTCAGCTGCTCGTTTTCTACGGCCATTTTAATTGATTAATTATGGAAAGGCCAAAGCCAAGTTCCTAAATAATGAATGATGCCGGTTTTAAAGAGTCTTGAATATTTTACGTCCTGTGGGTGGGATTGCATTGTTATTATTAGCTCTCGGGGCCGTCAATCAAAAGCTCTGACCCCGCCCCCTCTTGGCGTCACACGTCTTTCAAGTGACGTCAAATTGTCTGCAGGTGTTGGAAAAGGCGCAGTATTGGCGTAAGTGACGCTTAAAACGGCTTTTACGGTAAGAGAACGCAGTAATATGCGTTTTAAATATTTGACGCTAAATATACCGTAATATTTGTTTATGTGTGTGTTTGTCACTGGGAAACTGCGAAGAATGTGCTGGTTGCAAGGAGAATAACCTTCATTTGACATGAACATCGCGCATCCTATGCTTCTATTTATACTCCCCATGAAAGACCGATCTGCCACATAGCCTTTGAAGCGTTGGCATTACATTGCACGGATTCGAATGATTGTTTGCCTTTTCGTTTTTTATATCTAAACGACAATAATGAATCCATGATCGTTGTGTTCTTTAGCATCCTCCCAGAAGATGGTGAATCAGGTGAACATATCCTCCGCAGCAGCAGTGTTGCATGTACATGTGCTGTTTCCTGTTATGTAAGGATGCTCAGATTTTTTTGTTAGTTATACATTTTCTTTTATAATAGGCTATACGACTGTATTATGTAATATTCTAGTATAACATTGGGCTACTGATAAAATTCCGGCATGTCTCAGAACCATTCAAGAAAATGCACATGTGTTTTGTGGCTCTAGTCTAGAATATTTACCTCCATAATTCAGCAAAACCAAAGTTAACCAAAGTTATTAGTGGTTCTGTCCTTGTTTTGTTCAAATCTCACATTTGGCAGTCTATATGTTGCTCCGTGTAGGCCTATTCTTTGCAAAAAAAAAAAAAAAAAGGTTTTAAACCAGCCGGAACTGGCTGATGGTCTCCCAAGCTGGTCTTTTGGCTGGTTCAGAGGTGTTTTTGTGCACTTTCCAGCTGGTCACCAGCAAACCATTTTAGGCTGGTTTAAGATCTTCCTCTTCTTCAGTAGTGTTATCTGGCTAGTATTTTAAAGGACGATTTTGAAGCAGATCAGTGCTGGTTTGATGGTTCTTGGACAGAGCAGCTCTAACCAAACCATGTCCACTAGTGCTGTCAGTCTCAATTTCTTTTGCATTATTGAGGATTTGAGTCTAAAGGAAGAGAAATGCAGTCTCTAGTCTTGAGCTGAGCTTGAACATTTCCTGTTGTGTAATTTGCTGTTGAAAACAAATTTCTTCCCAACAATATATAGCCATAAAAATGAGCTGGCAGTTTGCTTTTGTTGGGCTGAAAGAGCATCTGAGATCTAAAAGTTAGCCTCTATTTTTAGTCTGCTCGAGCCCTCTGTTATCAGGAGAGATGCTGATAGGATGCTTTGGTGTTCTGCGAATCTTCCCGACACACCAGACGTGGAGTGCTGAATCACAGATCAGCTTCTCTGGAGGAAAAGCCTTGTTGTTGAGTTTGTGCTGTGTCTGGTGGAAAATGATTTTGATTGTGATGATGAACATACATATATCCTGGTTAAACATGTATATGAAATTAATTAAACTTGTATTAGAGTTTTTATGGTGTTTTTGACAGGTCAGAAATAGAATAGGAACATTGTTTTCTCTTTAACCACCCTTGAGTTCTCTATCTAAAGATCATGTTGCCTTGAAGTGGAATACGATGCCAATCTCCAATCCCAATGAGCTTTTTGCCACAGTATTCCAAATGTCTCTGTTCGGAGTGAATTACTGGTTACTAAGTACTGCACAGTATGTATATATGGATGTATGTATATATATATATATATATATATATATATATATATATATATATATAATATATATACACACTTTATTGATACCTAATATATCTAATATATCATAATATCTGAGGACTTGTTGAATTCTGTTTCATTCTGGAAATAAAATATAAGGTCAAGTGCTTTGCATTGTGGGATACAGTAATGGACATAGGCTGTGTTCGAAATCGCCCCCTATACCATCATTCACTATTCCCTACATTAGTCCGCTAAAATAGTTCACTTGAAGGAGTGAATGAAAACGAGTGAGTGATTTCTGACACCGAGTTCGCTGGAAGGGCTGCCGCTTTTGCATAGTTTTTGCTTGCTGTTTAATAATCATTTGAAACTTTGCAAACTGGCAGCTCCAGTAGTAATGATTTATCTTGAACTCTGTCATGGAAAAAACTACCATGTATAAACCTTAATTAAACAATTTAATAATCAATTAAAAAGGAATTTATACCTGTATGATATTATGCGGTAGCCTCATTGGACCAGCGGTTTGGAAAAAGGATGGATGGATGGATGGTCAGACACGGGAATTCATTTGGTGCGACCGTCACAGTGCATTATGGGTATTCTCTAGCCATTGAGCGTACATCGGTTGTACACTCGTTATTGCAATGAATTGTGGGAATAAATAAGTGCACTCAATAACGTCCACTATGGTTTCGGACACCAAATGACTGTGCCCTCAAATATTGCTCCATTTTGGACACAGCCAAAGTCTGTTCTGTTGTATACTGTACACAGCGCATGCATACTATATACTGTAGAAGTAGTAAGCGTATAATAGTATGAAGTTAGCCTCTGTCTGTGATGGAAGCCTTTAACAATGTGATGAACAAATTTATTCAAGGGTTCATTTAATGGAATGTTTTAAGGTGAAATGTCAGCCCTGAATCTCTTTTTCTTTTTCAGTGTGTAAGAGAGAGGCTTTATTGTGAATGAAATAGGCCTACTAGCTATGTGTCTAGTTTTATCTGTTTATATCTGGACTACTTAAAAAAAAAAAAAAACAGAATACACATTATCCAATGGTAAATGTTGCAGAATAAAGACAAATGTATGCTGTTTGTTGTCACGTGACATCATAACACTGCATATGAGTGGTGTTCAGGTGTTGTCATGGAATAAAACATCAAATTCAGCAAGTAAGGGCACATTAAATTATCACAGTAAAGTCATATACTGTTACAAAAGATTATTATTTCTAATACATTATTTTGAACTTTCTATTAATAATAGAATCCTGAAAAAAATTATTTATCGCGTTTTCCAAAAAAAAATGAAGCAGAACAACTCTTTAACATGATAATAATAAGAAAGATTACTTGAGCAGCAAATCAGCATATTATAATGATTTATGAAGGATCATGTGACACTGAAAACTGGAGGAATGATGCTGAAAATTGTTCACAAATAGAAGTTATTTTCAATTTGTAATATTACTGTTTTTACTGTATTTTTGATCAAATTAATATAACCTTGGTGTGCATAACAAAAAAATCTTACCAACCCTTAACATTTGAAAGGTAGTGTGGCTAAAGATCTCCACTAAACTATAGAAAGGAAAACAATAAAAATAAAACCATAAATATCCCGCTTTTCCTGTATTCTGCATATTAAGTCAAACAGCCCTAACATTTGATATTGTACAGTTAAATGATGAAGCTTACCGGTGTGTTTCTAATCTACTAAAGCACCATTTCTTGTATCTATAAACACTGAAAAAAATAACGAGTAGGCATTACTTTTGACACCAAGTTGGAAAAACATGAAAAAGTAGCTAATTTAAAGTTTATATTTTGAAGGTCTCTGTTGATGTACAGCATTCAGCTGCCCAGGCAAAGCCAAGACTGCAACATGGCTAATATTGTACATACACAAACTCTCCTTCGCTGTCAACACAGCTGTTTCAGAGCAATAAATAAACATTGCCTGTACACCTGAATGGTTGCAGACCGGTTTTTTGAATAGAGGATGTAATAAAAAGAAATAGAAATCATGTATACAGCTGTAGCTTGCATAAAATCCAATGCTTTTACTACAACAGCACATCTGTGATTTGGGCATGCGGTCTGTAACGTAGGGTGTTTTCAAGAACGAGGAGAGCTGGATCCATATGCTGGGAGTTTATAGACAGAATAAACATAAACAAATCCAACATGTAGACCAGAGAAACAGGGAACAGAATAATTTAAATACACAGTAATTGGCAAAACAGACACACCTGGGAACAATTAAAGAACTAATCAACAAGAAAAACTACAAAGGACTACAAAACATGACGTAAAACAGGAAATGACACAAGTCCACACAAGATCAGGGGAAAACAAGACAGAAATCATGACACAATCCTTTTCTACCATCTACTAATCTTAAAGGCTTGTAAAGATGATTAAATAATGTATTAGGGTTGAAGACAAAAAAAACATGTAACATTATCTGTAGTTAATCACAATGAAAATGGAATGTCACTTGCATTGTATTTATTTGATACAGTCAAGTACACAGTGTGTTTCATTGTGTACTGCAATTGTTTGTAAATACAGTAGGTCATTTTCAATGCATTTGGAAAATATGCATACCTGCGCATTATACATTCTGCAGAAATGGTAGTGATATGCTGTTCCGGGTATATTCCAGCATCTTGTGTATGGCACGACTGACTTAAGGTGAACATTAGTCTAACTTGACATTTTTCTTCCCCATGTCAGAATTAGCTTAATTTAATGATGTAAAATATTATTAGGGTGGAATGGCTGATTAGTCCTTATTTAAAGTAAAACCTTCCTCAGACCGCTTGATAAGAATAAAACATCTGTCCTTGTCAATGTGCAAGGCTTGCACAGTGTTTCAGCTCTTCAGCATTTTCTTTATTTTATGTGTCTGCCAGACACCCATAAGACCTGATTATTGCTTTTCCCAATCTGATCTTCCAAGCGTTGAGTCATTGCGATATGTACAGTGTGTAAGTTCATGTTACATTTGCCCTATTTAACTTTCTTAATGCCATTACAGTTTATTTTAAGGTGACATTGTCACGTTACAGTGAAATTAAACAAAAAAGTACTGAGTAATATTGTAACACTCCGCCCTTTACTGCTCTTTTTTAAGCAGAGGTGTCACTAAAAACGCACAAGGGGATCTTTAGAATAAAAGCAATAATCGTGAATATAACAACCTTCAAAAGTGATACATACCCAATGCTATCTTAAACAGATAAACATGCCCAAGAAGAGGTGTATGGGAATTAATAAGGCACACAGCAATAAACTAATATTCAGGCGGCGCTTAGCGCAGTATATTACAAAGGACTCAATTATCCAGTGCACCCTCACAATCAGGGCCGGCTCTAACCCTTTGGTTGCCCTAGGCGATATTGAGT